TTCTTAAACAGTCTTATCTTCTTTTTTTCAACCCTTCTATCGTAAATGAAATTTTTTCAAAAATTCCTTTAAATGGTTTGTCCACATCTTTCTTTTTTCACAAGAAGACGAACTAAGAAGAAAAACAAATAACGAAGCCTGATTACTGAATAATTTTTCTATTATCATGATATTATATGATGGAATTCAACTTAATGTGACTTTTCAATGAAAGCATTATGTTCGATGCTAAGAGTGAAATACAAAAAACAATTGTTCTTGTCACAAGTAAAAAAAAACCCCCCCCCCCCCCACAGTCTAACAAATTGTCACAGAGTTTGGTCGATGCTTAACTTTAGATCACTGAATAATTTCTATGATGATATCTGTCCACAGATGACAATGAAATGAAAGCTTCGACGAATATGGTTTTTACTTTTCTGTTTTGTATATATCTGTCTTTGCTTTACTTTAATACAAAAAAAACTAATATGCATGAAAGAAAAGAAAAAATATGTCGACAAAAAAAAAGAGAAAATATATTTTTAGATTCGTTTACGCAAGTAGTGTGTTATCACCTCTGTATCCGTTTATTAGCCTTTTTCGCCTACACTTAACTTTTCTTGTTAATTTAAACACTTTTTGTGACTTATCTAAGCACTTATTTCCATCTGTAAAACTTAAAAAACGTTCACTCAAACCGTAAAGACTAACAAGTTTACTATGAAAAAATTGACAATGATTTTTCCACAATAAACGGCATACAGTTCTTCAAGAACCTCATGAACTTTTCAATTTAAAATCTTTAAATTTTGTACATTTTAGGATTAATATTTTTTTAGTCAGAGTTACTGCCTCGTTGTTATTTTGTAATAGTATTGTTCCTAATAACAAAACATTATATCAGATGGCCTAACGTACCTTTACATAACGATTTGAATGATGAATATATTCCATGCCATGATCTTAGTCAAAAATCAGAATAGCTCCACTTCGCATCCTGTAATTATTGAAAATTCCTCCATAGACTTTACAATTTCTTTTCGTTTTACCTCGAGGGAATATTATGGAAGTGGACACTACACTGTGTCCGAATATATATGTATAGAGATCACATTAAAACTTTTGTTGAAGCTATGATGATATTTTTGGACTTACTAATAATCAATTTTTTGGCAAAATCATTTAGTAATTTTTAAATCATACTAAGTAACAACAATGATGACAATGTTAATAACGATATCCAAAAAACTGAAATTATAATGGTCGCTGGTCCAAAAAAAAAAAAAAACTTCACACTGGATGTGCTATAGTTTCAAAAGGTGTTGACTCTTCCCTTTTCTTTTTAGGATACGTATTACGAGAAACATCTCGAGACAAATTGATAGGGTTGACATTTTCATTTCTCCATGCTCACAATATTCGAAATCTAAAAGTAAGATCTACCAGGAAAAAGGAGCAAGATATGACGCAACTTGTTATTTTCAGGGAACCCCGAATATCCAATTTCTGAAATATAATATTTCAAGAGAATTTTTTTTTGTTATTTAAAGAGAATTTTAGCAGCTTGGTTCAAATTTGTTAGTCTTTAATAAGGTCCCTATGCTAATGCCACCCACGAAATAATAAGCTACAATAGTTTCAGTAACTTGGTCTGGTTTGCAAAAATGCATATTTTGTTACGTTTCATAATATGTTAAAAGAAAAAAATATATATTGGTTACACAAAAGTTATAATTTAACATTTACCTAAAGGTATTTAAACAATAGCAAAAATATTCTAGAATACTAATAATCATAACAGATCAAATTAATAGAACCTTGCATAACACAGTTGAAAAAATGAAAAGAAATGGAACAAAAGAAAAGAATCTAAAACATTTTATATAATAGAACAGAGATAGCGATGACAAAAAAAAAGTTGAACAGAGATAGTACAACTCTTGAATGCCAATGTGTGAATATCACCATGGTAGTTATATACATGCATTAGTACGATCGATCTCGAATTATAACCGCTATAGATGTTCAGTGTTACATGCGTACGTACTCATGCATGACTAATGGATCGATTAATTGGCATCTTTCATATTTGTGTTTCGCGTTTTCCAAATCAGATCAATTTGTGCGTGCACCGTAGTGTCTTACCATCCAAAGGGAAATATGATCAACCAATAAAGAATTATAAAAAAGTTAGCAATAAAAACTGATCAAAATAATAAATTTATATTTATTATATAGCTAATCCACTTACGAATTTAAAATATTTTAAGATTCGATCACACAGTCTAAGCTGGGTGAAGATTTGGTTCCGATAGTTAAAGTGTATTGATGAAGTCACATAGCCATAGGCTCTCTATGTCTCTCGCCTAGGAGATTCTCCTGCCAAAAACTTCTGCAGCATTTACACACTTTGAATTATTGTGATCAGCCAAATACTAGAATCCGAATATGTATCACATAAAAACTTTTGACTGTATCGATCTTTATCATTCTCTAACGCTTCTCAACTGATTAGTTTAAAGTTGTCTTTAAAAAAAAAAAAAAAAAAAAGTCACTGAAATATTTCATTAGAAAATAAAGATAGAGAATGAGCCAAAAACAGACCCACTCGAGATAGTTCAATACAGATAGATATGGACTTGAAGAGTCCATTTTACTAAAACGATGGCGACAAAGTTTTCAAAACTAGAAAAGTGCGAAAGATAGATGTTTGCAAACTCAGAGGAGATCGATCGGATGCCTTTCACAAAACCGATGATTTTTTTGAACTGGGTGATGCCGGATATAGCTCTAAAGAGCGTTCGATTGTCGGAGAAGACCCTAAGCATAGGGAACTCCAAGGTTTGAGCCATGCTCTCCTTTACTTCAATGATTAGAGGCTTTGAACTCTTCACTGAGAAGGTAAGTAATAGGAGACTGTGTCCAAAATGGAGGCTGATGGGAGGCCAGAGCAAATGAGAGATGACTGTAGAACTGTATCCATAAGCTGTAGAGAAAGACCTTAGTTGTCTAGATTTGGTTCTAAAATTCCCGAGAGATAGAGCAGATACTGTGTAGACTCTACTGGCATGTGATAGCTGAAAGGATAATGAAACAAATTCAAGAGCATAATCACGGAAAGGGGCTAGGTGAACCCTGTAGACTGAAGCTGTGGAGCAGATTGGTTTGAAGATTGTGCAGCTGTCTAAAGATACTCCATATATGTTGCTCGTTATGAACCAGATGCATTCCGGTAACTCAACTCTAAACTTCCCCCATGTTAGATGCGACCTGAGACAAGACCTCAAAACAGGACGGTGATGCCATGGTGTACCGGAGAGACGTAACTGCAAACTGCGAAAGCACATTGGTAAGGACAAAGCATCTACAAAGCAGAACACCAACCATAACTTAACCATCAAAAGCCAGTCCTCATAGCTTTGATTTGTTGCGTAATGGACAGAGATAAGCGTGGAGACGTTTCTTTCTTCGACCAAAAGCCTCACATCACTAAGCCAATCTCGAAGAGATTTAAACACCGCCCTTAAGGCTAGATATGACACATAAAGATCAAACTGGGTGTTCGTTGACGAAAAGGTTTGGAAATAAAATTCAAAGCCATCAACGCTCATGGATCTGAAGGAATGAGAGGGAAGCGTGTTGGTTCGAAGCGGTGGCGAAGAAAATAGATCTGGCGGGACCGGTGGATCTGGTGGGACCGGTGGATCTGGTGGCTCTGGTAAATGGGGAGGAGGAGCAACGAGGTTCTCCGACAAGCTCCTCTTGCCGAGAACGAAACGGTGTTCTTCTGAAACCATCGGACTTGAGGGAAGTATCTTGAACAGGGTCACATCCTCAGACGACATGGAGCTAACCAGAGAAGAGACTTGAAGCTACCGATGGAGTGAAGAGTCGCGGCGGTCATCAGGAGTGGGACGAGGCGGAGGAGGGACACCGGAGGCAGAGGCTCATGTCGAAATCTTCAATCTTGCGGCTGCTTCGGGAATCGTGCTTGGGAGCGTTTCTAGGGCGAACTCAACCGAAGTAAAGTTGAGAAACTTAACTCAACTAATTTTGTTATTACTTGGTTACTTTTTATCAAAACCATAAGTAATCTTGAATTTTACATTGTAATTGTAAACGTCTGTCAAGGAAGTATACAACTCATGACCCTCTTATATGATAACTATCAATTGTCAGTATCAATAAATTCGCTATGAATCCATATATAAGTAAACGAAATTGTAGTTGCAACAGAACGAAGAAAAAAACAGTAAAACTAAGAGCATCCCCATTGAAGGTTTATGAGGGGAGTTCACACGGAAATCAAGAAAAAAAAATAATAAAATAATAAAAACCTATGAACCCCTCTCACCTAAAGTTCACCGCGGTGAACCCCGGTTCAACACGTGGCGGCTCGGGATTGGTCTAGATTTTTTTTTTGTTTTTTTCTGTTTTTAAAAAAAAAATCAAAAAGAAAATAGAAAAATTTTAATAATAAAAAAATGATTCAATGAACCCCAAGAGGGGGTTCATTGATGTGGATGCCCTAACAACACACAAGTCAGAAATACAGAATAGCACTTAAAATCATATATATCGGAGTTTGACAAAAGCTCAAAACAATGAAGCCCATTTATATACGCAGTATCCTAAAAAGCCCAGAGAGGATCTTGTGAAACTCACAAGTACAAGTACAGACTAGCACTTGAACTCAAGGTATTAAAGTTTTTTAATAGCCAGATATATAGGCTCAATACATAGAAGCCCTTTATAAGAAGTTTGGAGACGACGACGTGGTCAGTTGTTCGATATAAAGAGGCACTATTTTATTCAAAAAAGTAACTTAAAGTTCACCGCGGTCCGCAAATGAAGCTTATTCGAATTCAAAGAGTTTGGACATTAGAGAGTAGGTTGTACGTATTCGAGTCTGCATGGTTCGATCGATCAGTTTATATTGTTGACATAAAAATATGATGTCCTTAAAAAAATTTCAGTTAAGATTTTTACTACGAATCATCATCATTCTTCTCGTGTTTCCTAATATTGATGTTTTGTCACTAAATTCAAACTTAGTTCTTATCTTGATTCTCTACATCTTCCTGCGCACAAACTATATATATTATTATTATTCTCTGCTTTTGATTCTTTATTCATCCAAATCAAGTCTTAAACTTACTACTTAGCTACAAAGCATGATGAGTATTAATACTACTACTTAATACAGAATTACAAAGACTAGCTGAGACAATATACGACTCTTTCTATCATAATTTATAAAGACAAAATACCATAATATTCGATCTCAAAAGACTAAGCTAGAGCTTCTTCTTTTTTCATGACCAAAAATCCCACCATGGGTAATTGCTGCTAGATTGGTCCAAGAGATTAGTATCTGATTTGAAACCTCCCCAGTCATCAGATGATGTCAAGCAACTATCAGCTGGCTCCACAATGTTCATCAAGTGATCTGCTTCTTCCTCAAACCCTCCAAAATACTCTCTCTTGATGTTGTTATTGAACCCACCATCATCATCATCATTATGATGACCACTCACAACCCCATCGTGACCCTTCTCACACACTTCCATCTCTGGCCTGACCTCTTCCTCCGGTTCACGCCTCGTGTTCTCTTCATTCTCTGATTCATGATTTGTGCTGCTTAGAGCCACCATCGCGGCTTGATCACCGCAACACAGTCTTTCCACCTCGTTTGTTTTCTGCACCTCCTCGTTTAATCTATGCAACTGCATAAAAGTTATAACAATTCATCAAAGATATATTATTTGTTTCAGTCCGTGTTCTACAAATCAGTTTAGGCAGCACTTAGATACCGTCTACTCGGCAAAACAGTCATAAGTTCATAACGATTTTTTTTAAAAGAAAATCGGTCTAATCAGGGTCTAAACTAAGCACTAATCCTTGTCAATCGTCTAATTACCCGCATAGCGATTTTCTTAAACATTATTTCAAATTAACCTTGAAACAGAGATTGTTAGCACCTAATAACCAGACCTTGGTTGCAGTATAAAACCGTTAACCACATATATTTTTAACATTAATTACACTTTACAACTATTAGATTGAATCATGTTAACCTCTAATTAATTAATTATGGTAAGATAACATTACCTCAGAGACTAAAGCTTGTTTTTCTTTCTTTAGAGACTCAAACTGAGAAGCCAAGTCGTTATAATTTTGTCTGAGGATGTTGAACTCTGTCTCGAGCTGCTTCGACTTCCAACGAGCCCTCTTGTTCTGAAACCATATAGCCACTTGCCTAGGCTGCAAGCCAAGCTCTCTGGCTAACTGAACCTTCTTCCTTGGCTCTAGCTTCGTCTCAGACTCAAACATCATCTCTAGTGATTTGATCTGCTCGTCACTAAACCTTCTCTGATTGTTCTTGTTGTGGTTACTCTTCTTCATCTTCTTCATGGCCATAAAAGGATCTCCCGACATCCTCACCGGAGAATATTCCCTTCCTTCTGTCATCTAACCAGAATTTATTATGCCTTTTTATTTATTTTTGGAACCTCTGTGTTTGTGATGCTGGCTCTCTATATATGTGTGTTGAGGCTGAGATGACTATGGAATATATTTGATGATATTACTAATTTCTCGATTTTTGGTTCTATATAATAAGATATAAACTTTAGGTTGCTTTGTTGAAAGTTTTTTAATTCTTTTTGAGCTAAACGATTTGTGTGTCGACAGGTAGCAATAGGGGCGGATTTTGGCTGCTTATAGAGTCGTCGCTATCACTTGTTAAGTCGAGTTTCATTTCAACGTGAACAAATCATCCAACTACTGATTAATAATTTCTACCTTGTTAAGAAATGGAGGAAATGGTGGTTAGCCATATCCGAGAAATGGACCAGACCACATCAGTCTACTTCAGTCACTAAACCAGGCGGCCAAGACTTGTCACTATCCACACTCAAGCTCCTTGTGTTTATCCATATGTTGTAGTTATCCTAATCATTATAGGATTAGGATAATCATCCCCTTTATTTGTAGCAATCCTTATCTCCTAAGGAATATGCTTTATTCTCTTGTATGTATATATATATGTGTAACCACGTGATTAATAATACAATGAGAGTTACAACCTTCTTCTTTATTTCACTTGTGCAATAGTCGTGCAGCCCTAACCCTAAGCTAAAAATCCGTAGCTCTCTCTCTCTCTCTAGGCGGCTGCAGAAACCCTAATCCCTGCAGCAACTTCAAAGCGACGTATCTCCCAAACCCTGTGTACCCAGACGACGATCTACATACCAAACTGAAGCTGTGGAAGAGAGGAATCCAGCAGATCAAACGGCGCGTCAATCAGACATCAGAATCAACCGGAATCATCAAAACAAGACGGCGGCTAAATTTCTGTTTTTCCAATCCGGGAAACCCTAGAAACTTCTCTCTTACTCAAACGACTTTCACCTTATTTCTTCCTTAATTTATTACTTTATTTTGAAGAAGAAACCTGTTGCTAACTATTACTTTGCAGGTATAAAGCCTTAGCAAAAAGATTAAAGGTGATCCAATCTCTCTCTTTCCTAAGACCCAAAACCGGTTTTGCCCTAATGGAGGTCCATTCAGATACAAGGAAGTTTGAGGTATGAAAACTTAAACTCTAGAACATGAGTTTCGACCCCTTTAATCTATAATGTTTTGGTGAGTTTAAAGAACAATAATTAAACCCCTAAAGAGCCTAACTTATGCACATGAATACAAACTTGTATTCATGAACAAAAGTTAACCTAAAACCCTAATTGTTGAACTCGAAATCTTTGCTTGCTTTGGTCCGTTTTGCTTGCTTATTTTTATCAAGTTATTTATGTTGAATGCTTTAGGGATTCACCTTGATAGATTTCGTGTTTTGAGTTTGAGCAAATTGATAATCTAAAACCCTAGATAGCTAAGACATAAAACCGGTTTGTTTTGTCTCTCTCTAGGATCGATTTGTTAATGGTTGTTTTTGATTGATCCAATTCGTTTTTGCTGCACTAGATCTATTAATCACTTGCTGAAATTGATCACCCTGGGACTATGTGTTTGTTTGATCATTGAATTAATTAGATCTGAGGTTTAGAAAGTTGTTTAACCTAAACCCTAATTTGTGCATGAACCTAAAATCCGATTTGCATAAACCCTAGCTATAACTTTGATATTTTCATTGTTTAAATTTGTTTTAGCATGTTAATATGGACTATCTGATTGCTTATGACATTGAGGTCGAATGCTAGATTCATAGGTTGCTTGAATCATATTGATAGTTTGCTAAAACCCTAACTGTTTTTCTATGCGCATAAACTGATCTTGAGTTGCTTAAATGGTTA